TGGTGATGGTGATGATGATGATGGTGATGATGATGGTGATGATGATGGTGATGATGGTGATGGTGATGATGGTGATGGTGATGATGGTGATGATGGTGATGATGATGGTGATGGTGATGGTGATGATGGTGATGATGATGGTGATGATGATGGTGATGATGATGGTGATGGTGATGGTGATGGTGATGGTGGTGATGGTGATGATGATGGTGATGATGATGGTGATGGTGATGATGATGGTGATGGTGATGGTGATGGTGATGGTGGTGATGGTGATGATGATGGTGATGGTGATGATGATGGTGATGATGATGATGGTGATGATGATGGTGATGGTGATGATGATGGTGATGATGGTGGTGGTGATGAGGGTGATGATGATGGTGATGATGATGGTGATGGTGGTGATGATGGTGATGGCAGCTAGCATTTAAGGGCTCCTCACAGACCAAGTCTGGTCCAGTGGCTTGCTAAATTTCCTTTTCCCCAATCACTGTAATGAAGTAAGAGCTATTATTATTATTAGCTCCATTTCACAGATGTGGAAGCAAAGGCTTAGGAGGGTTAACTGGCATGTTGGTAACAATGACAATGGAGAAAGAGGTCGCCCACCCGGGGGCAGGGCAGTGTAAGTGGTAGTCCTTTCAGGGCGGGCGACGTGAGGTGGCCTGATGGACGGAGAGCTGCCGGCCTGTGAGGCTGAGTGAGAAAAGATCAGAGCCCCATGTGTGCACGTAGACTCATGTGGGTGAACAGGTGAGTGGGGGCAGGTGCACCTGGACATAGGGTGGGATGCCAGCGCCGGTCACTGCCAGGTTCGGAGACGGGCCCAGGCCGGTGGTCACTGCCAGGCTCGGAGATGGGCCCAGGCCAGTGGTCACTGCCAGGTTCGGAGACAGACCGAGGCCAGTGGTCACTGCCAGGTTCGGAGACAGACCGAGGCCAGTGGTCACTGCCAGGTTCGGAGACAGACCGAGGCCGGTGGTCACTGCCAGGCTCGGAGATGGGCCCAGGCCAGTGGTCACTGCCACGTTCGGAGACAGGCCCAGGCTGGTGGTCACTGCCAGGCTCGGAGACGGGTCCAGGCCGGTGGTCACTGCCAGGCTCGGAGACGGGCCCAGGCTGGTGGTCACTGCCAGGCTCGGAGACGGGCCCAGGCCAGCGGTCCCAGGCAGAGCCGACAGTGCACGTCACTTCACTACACTGTGTGCACATCTAGGGTTTTGCAGACTGGGGGTTTGTGGCAGCCCAGCATCAGGCAAGCCCGTCCACCCCATCTTCTCGTCAGTGTGTGCCCACCGCGGGTCCCCACGCCACGTTCAGGTCACAGGCATAGCATTTCAGGCTCTCCCTTCATGCTGTTGTGCTGTGGCACGTGCCATGGACTCCAGGCTGGTGTGCGCATGTCTGCACATCCACAAACCAGGCAGTTAGGTGAGACCCTTGTCCGCAGCACTTGCTCTGTTTGTGGGGTCTGCACCCCAGCCTCTGTGTCTCTGAGGTGTGCCTGTGGGAGTATTTCACTTAAAAAGTAAACACACAGGAAGAAATGCTTTGTTACGCTCCCGCACGCGCACACACTCGCACACACCCCTGTGTGGCCCTTTCACCCTCCCCTGCCCTGTGGCCACTGTCTGCTGCAGAGGTCAGTCCTGGGCCTCTTCCCTCTTCTCTTTAGGCCCCAGGAGTGTAATTTTTCAAGGAGCTTCTTCATTGAGACTCGGGAGTTTTTAATCCCCCCTCCGAGCCCCATGATTCTGAGAAGGGGCTTCCAGCACATTCCTTTCCAGGAAGCTGGGGGCTCTCAGGCCGGGGGTCGTCTCGGTGTCTCGTGTGCTGGGTATGTGTTAAAAGCAGGGCCTTATGAGGGCTGTGCCGGGCCCTCGGGCACAGTGCACTCCAACAGTGAACAGAACTGCTCCTCACACACGGCTCTGCAGGGTGCAGGGAGATGAGTCAGGAAGCGGGAGTCCTAGGTTCCAGTCCCACCCCTTCCACCTTGCTCTGTGCCCCAGGACAGTGACCACACCGGATCAGTGGAGATGCCAGCGCCTGCTGTCCTGACTGAGGCGGATGCTGGCCAGTCACCACCAGGTCTGCTCTAGGCCTGCACTGGATGACAAGGGCTTCCTGGGCAGATCCATGGCGTGGTGGGCATGGCATGGCACCAATGCCACACGGGGGGATGGCCCTGGGCAGCAGTGACAAGTGTTTCAGTGAGATAAAGTGACAAGGCACTGTGTCCTGTACATACAACTCTGCCCAGCCTCGAGCTAACTGCAGGGCACTGGGCCCTTCCTGTCCTGAGCCCTTGACCCGCACGGCCTGAGGAATAGCGCTGTATGGCGGGCAGGGTGTCCAGAGCTAGGAGGTACCTCAGGACCCAAAACCTGCACCCTGCACACAGCTCTCACTTGCCCCCCACATTCTTTCTTTTTTTTAAAAAAATTATTATTCATTTTAAATGAAAGTTTACAGAGACTGGATTTCCATTCATTCACTGTGCACTTTTCTCTCCTTCAGCCCTCCCCCAACCCCCACTTTATGTCTGAAGTGACTCCATGCCACTCAACCCAGGCTGTGTGTGTGGGACCCTCAACTGCCCCTGGTGGATCCTGGGGTCTCCCACACAATTCCTGCCACATCATGGCCTAGTTAAACGTGGTGGTTGGATAAAATGTCAGTTGACGATTGTTGAGACACTGTCATCAGTAACAGTTAACAAGGCCCCTCGGCCACTAGCCAAGAGGTCGGAGGTGTGTGTTCAGCCAGAGAGGCATGTGGAAGAAAGGCCTGGCAATCAGCTTCTGGAAGAGCAGACAGGAAACCCTGGGGGGCACAGTTGTTACTGACGCACGGTTGGCCGGCATCGGACACCATTCTGCAGCACCCTAGTTTATCCCATTTGTTCTGTGATCGCTAAGTGGTGGCCCTGACCCCACTGTGTGTGTGTGTAGGGGGCTAGTGCTGACCCTGCTGTGGGTGGTGGGGCACTGGCCAGGTGGCCTCTGGGA